TGCTATTATTAGTATGATTGGACAAAAATCTTGTTGGGTGACTATAATAGTGAATTTGCTAGTGTCTATTAACCAATAAGATTCAATATTCTTGCTGTCCAAAATGAAGACCATTAACTTGAGCTTCTTGGGTATTGTCTTAGGGCGAGCCCATTATAGTTAGTGGGTTTTAACTCGGGGAACTCTTTTATCATAAAAATCATAGTAAATAGTAGATTTTTAAAACTAGATTATGATAAATTTTAAAATTATTTGAAATAAATAGTTACTTTTCGTGTAAATGTGTCATTTATGATTGATAAAAAATAATTTATGTAATAAAAAATCTTTATTTACATAGAAAAGAAATCTTTTTACCAGTTGTAAATGAAATATTTACGCAGTCTTCAAATAGTATTAAATCTTATGTTTAATTAATTTAGTTTCATAAATTTCTAATTCACTATTCTCTTAAATTTTATTGAGACTCTAAATTTTTATTAAGGCACCCAACATATTTAAAAATTAAAATTATTTTCTTTTTAAATTAAAATCATTTTCTTTTTAAATTAAAATCTTATATAGTTCCATAAATACCTTTATGTACACTCCATATTTCTCTCATCTAAAAAACGATTTCTAAAAAGATTTACTTTTCTATTTTTTGGCTCAATCTTTCCATTTGAACAATAAAAAAAATAAAATTTCCATTTGAATCTTTTGTTGCTGATTTGAATGACTTGAATCATATGGTTGGTGTGCAATTTCTCCTCCACGTAAAGTATGAACTTAAAAAACAAAAAATGCGATAATTTTTATTTTTTTCAACGATATTATACAATCATCTATCCTAACTTTTTTCCTTAAAAAACTCTAATAAAAGTTTTCTGTTCACCGAGTATTGGAGCACGATAAGAAAATTTTATTAAGTATAAATATATATATATATATATGTATATGTATATATATATATATATATTTTTTTTTTTTTTTTTTTTTTTTTTTTTTTCTCTGTGAGAAAGGGTTT